GAATTCTTTGTCAAAATATGTAGAGTAATAATGGGGTCCGCAAACAAGGTAGAGCCAGAGAAAGCGGAAATTAGCCCAGAAACAAAGGACAATGCGTTGTCAAGATACCAGCACACAATTCTGACATTTCTTCTGTAGACATGTCGAAGAACATGTGAGTAAAATCAAGAGTATCGCAATCCCCAATGAAGCTATTAGGTCATCCCATTCAAAAGTGCCGAAGATCTTATTCATATAAAACGAAGAGAAAAACAGATAGAAAAGTAATATTTTAGCTTTGAGTTAAGTAGATCCCTCCTTCACCAATGACCCGCTCCCAGGGCCCCGAAAGCGTTTGGACCTCTGGTACCTTCGTTTTTTCAACAAGTGCGAGTAAATTGCTGTTGATGCCAATTTCGGCGAATGACAAAACATTGTAGCGTTTGCCGTCGGAGAGTACCCTCGACTGACCAGAACAGTTGGAATCGAACGGCTTTATTATTAAGTTGGGCGAATGGGGCTGGCGACACTTTGACGGCCAATTTTTGGGTCTAAATTTTTAGTCACTAAAAGACATCTCCAATCTACAAGGTAATCACCACTAAGGACTAGGACTAGTGCCCTTCTTTTGCACAGCTTCTCATTTTCCATTCTTATAGAACTACGGCAACTATGATAAGAAGAAGAGGTGGACCTCATTTTTGAGTAGACGTCGATTTTCGGAATTTTTGCCTTCTTAAGGATGAGGCATTTTCCGCGATCAGGCATTTAGCGCCGTTGATTAATATTTGCTGATATCAAACCGAAAAGGTTAGTAGTTGAAGAGACTGTGACACTGGAATACATCTTTGATGAAGTGGTTACCAGGCTGTTTGTTTTATGATAAGTAAGGGGGGGTGTGTGGGAGTGTGGGGGTGCGGGGGGTGGAGGAGTCAGATCGAGATCCACGATCTTTTGGTGTGGCCTGATCCTAACCTGCGGTCTTCGCATTGCCGAGCGGTAGAGAAAAATTGAGTATTTTTGAAGAATTTAAGCGTGACGTCATCCATGTTGTGAGGTTGGTTAGAGTGGACTGTAGTCCTTACCGTTATGCTAGTAGGGGGTGGCGGGGGGGGGGGGGGGGGGGGGGTTGTTTTGTCCTTTTCCCACTCTATCGCCCCTTTATCAAGCGGCTAGCCAGTTTTCTTGTCACTCAAGATATCGCTCTTAGAGTCCCCCAATAAAACCTACTGAAATCCTCTTATCAGATATTCCACTGCCAATCTGGTGTTTTGTCCGTAGACTCGTATTATGCATACCCTCAAAATACTTTCTCCAGTCGTTGATCGACGTAGAATCACCTCGGAGTATACCTTCTCTTGGCCCAGCATGACTGAAATAGGTGCTGGTGAGCGAACGCGCAGAAGGACGATTGCCGGGGGACAGGGTGGGGTGGGAGCCCACCAGTGAGAAACTCTACCAACCACAAGATCTCACAAATGTTCCTCCAGTGTGTACAAGGAAAAAAAAAAACTCAGTCACGGTCATTCGGGATGACTTGTCAGAGAGGGGTTCAACTCATGGAGCCAGTCCTGTCATGCAAAATGGTTTTTCCATTAAACCGAGGAGTGGCGGGATCATTGGCAGTTGTCGGTTATAGGTGGAGCCTAGAGAAGGTTGCCAACTTATTAAGTAAAGGGCCGTCATTCTGTGCTGGTGGCCGACCCATACATTGCCTACTTCCGAGTTGAATAAGTCCAGCCTGGAAGCGCTGATGCAAAAGGAACTCTCTGCTGTGGCAAGCGATATCCTTCCTCAAGACAACGTAAGTGTCAGCTTCCTCGACTACGGCGGGGTGGCCCTAGAGGAACTCATAATATGGGACAGGTCCAAAAGTACCTCGACCTCTGGGGAACTTTTAAGCTTTGAAAACTTCCTCAAAGCCATGATATACCCATGTGCAGAAACCTCAGAGGACACTCTCCACTAATCAGGGATAAAAACATCCAAAATGATTTTTGGTCTTTTTCCAGAACAATTTAATCAAAGTGTCGCAGGACTTTTCGACCAACCTAATAGCTTAGCACCACAATTCTGACATCTTTCTTCTGTAAACATGTCGAAGAATCATGCTGAGTAAAAACCAGATCAAAAATATGCAAATCAAATCAAAGGCAATCAAGAGTATATTGCATCCCCCAATGAAGCTATTAGGTCATCCCATTCAAAAGTGCCGAAGATCTTATCCACATAAAACGAAGAGAAAAACAGATAGAAAAGTAATATTTTAGCTTTGAGTTAAGTAAGAGTGTCCTCCTTCACGCAGCGCCTTGGCCCGCAGGACTCGAAAGCGTTTGTGAACTTTGGTACCTTCGTTTTTTCAACAAGTGCGAGTAAATTGCTGTTGATGCCAGTTTCGGCAAATGTCAAAACGTTGTAGCGCTTGCCATTGGAGAGTATCCTCGTCTGACCAGAACAGTTGGAATCGAACGGACTTTTATGTTGGGCGAATGGGCGATTGAAACCCAGGTCTCAGGTATTTGCGTGTCTGGTTGGCGCCGCCACGTACATTCCGTTCTCCCCTCTCCATTTCGCGCATGTTGAAGATTTACTTCGTAGGTAGTCGTACAGTGTGTCTTCAAAAGGATAATCTCCTGTATATAGCCATTACATTGCAGGTGAACGTGGAAAAGGTATTAGAGCGTGATCAGAAGCTCTCTCAGCTCGATGACCGCGCCGACGCTCTGCAGGTTCGTAATTTTTGACTTTCTTTCGGTATTCTAGCGTGGCCTTTCAAGCGACTAAGACTAAGATTTTCAGGAAGGAGCATCACAATTCGAGAAATCTGCTGCAACACTCAAGAGAAAGTACTGGTGGAAGAACATCAAGATGATGATTATAATGTGCGCAATCACAGTGATCCTAATCATTATCATTGTTCTGTGGGCAGGTGGAAAGTAGACGTGGCCGATGGAATCATATCATGCTGCCCGTCCATTGCACCTGTATTCTACTGAACCACGTCACGCTTATACATCACAATACTTCTGACAAGCCTCGGTTTCGGTGACTAAATACTATCGTAAATGAGGTTGTGTTAACGCTTCTCTTCCCGTAGGCGATATGCTCGTTTTATTTTCTCGACTGTCCATTTGATAATGTGTTCAATTATGTATGCGTTTTATCCCAACGTTTAGGTAGTATTGTCCCTACAATAATGTTCACCCTGTTGAATTGGACGTTGTGGAGTCCTTATCATGCCCCCATGTTTTGTTCCAGATTTTTTACCACACATAATTTATTATATTTATGTAGTTCCTCATGTACTATCGGTTGTAGTCTGCTCTCTTTGGCGACCATGTTTTACTTTCTTCAGTTTATTTACAATTTTCTATGATGGTAGTCGATAGCCGTGATCGTGTATATGATTCCAATAAAAGTTTTGTTTTGAAATTAGTGCGACATAGATATTGAGCCCGATGGCGGTTTATACTTGCCTCACAGAAAGAAAAGCTTGCTTGCGATGTAAAACTCCGCTTCATAGTCTTCAATTGAGGCTGAATTCTCTCTAGGCTGCTAGCTTCGAATACCACAAAATTACTGGTGAACTTCCACTATGCCCATAGACCAGACACCATATTTCAAGGCGCACGTAAAAACACTGCTAAACAAAGATGTCAACACTACTTGGGAGAATGGAAAAGAAAAACAAGGTAAGATAGAGTTCCTGAATTTGCTCGGGGGGGGGGAGAGGATTAGTAAAGCAGAGGTGTGCAGTCCAGTGAAACAAAGGTTTTCTTTGAAGCCTTTTTGGTGAAGAGAGTACTGAGGTGGGTGATCACTTTTCGCTCATAGGCCACTTTGCGATCAGTTGGTGCACAGTTCGAACATGGTAGTCCTGATAGCGAGCATTGAGTATGTACTTAGCCGAAAAGTATGTGAGAAAAGCGCCGCCCGCTCGCGAGGGAACCACCGCTTCGCCCACTGACCGCGGTGACGCCCAGTATTCATTTCTAACACTTTGCAGCCGCTATTGTGCGAGGACTCTGCATCATTTCATCCCTTTTAACTCCATAGTCGGAAATTTTTTTTCACTTCTGTGTGAGTTATGTGCATTCGTGTCCAAAAAGGTTTTTGATAAATTTAGTATATAAAAAAGATGCCAATTAGAGAAAATTGTATGACACACCACGTGTGTCACGCGTTCGGAATGCGTTAACTGCTGACTGATGGTGCGGTTTCCCCACTGCTAACTCTTCCATTTCGAATGGTGAGAGTGAAATGATAAGACAAAAAAGCTGGCACCAACAAATGAGAACTCGTCCGACCACGCCCTTCTTCGCTTTATACAAGTGCGGTTGACATGATTTCCACATGGGCGTTTCGGGCTGGTTTGCCCAGCTTTTTTTTGTTATTTCCATACTGACATTAGTATATGAGCCGTACAATTCACCGGTTCTGGGCATGGTGCCTGCCTTTGACGGGGTTCGTTCTTGCACCGCACCATCTTCTAGACCGTGACTGCTTGTGTTGCAGGACGAACAACTTGCGCTTTTATATAATGTGCGAATTCCCTTGGCGTCCAGTCGGGCAGCAGTCAGCAATGAGCATTTATAAGCTAGCTATTTATGTCCATCGGAAACGAGGCTCTGGATTTAGCACGACTTCTAGAAAACTGCAAGTTCGTTATCCAGTGAAATGAGATATTGAATATAATGGGAGTTTTTAAGGCTGTTAATTCTGTGGGGGTGGTTTCATTTTCCAGGCCACTTACTCTCAAACTTCTCAAATAAATTGAACGGATATACGTGAAAATTTAGAGCATCCAAGTGTTTCGCTTGCATACAAGAAATTGGCAGCACATGCATTCGCCCTCGGGAAAGACTTGGCAGAGTTTCGACAGGTTTGGAATGAACCATGCAGTTTTCAATGGTTTTCCTTTATGTGACTTTTTTTGCTCTTGTAGACATTTGGAAGGATTTAGGTTGTACTCAGTCGACGCTGTGATTACTTGTCATTTAATTCGCCAACTCGTATGATGGATGAATTCGATAGGGATGAGTTCGACCGTGATACCGAAAAAGTGAGCATTAGTCTATTTTTACCATCTATGAGATTGATTTCTATATTCTTCTCTACTCTTACCCTTACTTCTTATTGTAGAACCAACTCAAATGAACTGACTAGGCAAAAGGTGAGGGGTGATATGTGGGTAACCGATATCTTCTTTCTGAAGCCGATTTTCAAATCATGCGTGCGTCGCACCAATGACGTTTAACACTTCTTACCATGGCGGGCTTGTTTCTTACCGGCTCAAGGTTATACCTGGGAGGCCGCTCTGTTGGTGCGGTCACAACTTCATGCTCATCTGAATGTGGGAGCACAGCTAATCGATCTGACAAAGTCTTGTCGTATGCAGTATGTACTGTTGCACGTTTTTTCCTCGGTGGAAATGTTTCCTCCCAGTATGATATCTCGACTCTTTCGTTTCTTTCGTAGGGCTATGAACGAAAAGAAAAATGCAGCAAGTAGTTGTTTATTCCAGAGCTTCCTTTTTTCCGTTTTCTTTTCTTTCGTACGGCTCCCATGAAGGCAAAAAAGAAAGTGTAACAAGTAGTTGTTTATTCAAGTGCTTCTTGACTCGTTAGGTGGGACGATTTGTTGGACAGGGGTTCAACCAGATAACAGTCCTCAGAGGCCGAGAGTGGCAAGATTAGCGAACAGTTTTGTGTGAACCCCCAAGCGATTTTCCCTAGAATTTCCATGGAACGTTGGGGAGATCAACCGGAAACCCCATTGAGGAAATAGACACTTTCAGTCCACTTGCTCATGAGCGGCATCCCGCTGTATTATTTGACTAAGCAAGTGTAAAATATTATAGTTGTTCAACTAAAAGGAAGACGTTCTGCAAATGAGTGGAGATCTGGATAAGCCTATTCTCCTGGAATGGGAGACGTTAGGGTAGAAGGCTATGGCATCTTAGAGAACAGTTCAAATTTTTGGCCCACGTCCAGGTCTGCGAGGACGCCTGTCTGAACGAAACGTTTGCTCTTCAGGGGTTTGTTCCTCACGGCAACCACATAAGCACACAAGAAGAATATTTACCGTTTTCGAAGAAGCTTCCTTATATGCACGCTTGTCTTCAATATGAGACTGACTTCTACTTTCTGAAACAGAGAAAGATGAACTAGGATTCTCTGGAAGAGGAGTAACTCTCTTATGCAATTTTCCTCTGAGCGAAGTTCTCTATTTTCGAACGGTTTCTTTCCGTCTATTGGTTTTTCTTTTCAAAGGCGTTATCTCAATTGGGCCTCGCTATTCGTCGATTTACTTCACAAACCGCAGGAGATTTGCTGACGGCAAAGGAAGAAAAGAAGCACTTGTCGCTTGTTGCTGAATTGCTGAGCACTCATTTGAAAGGAACTGCGAAACTCGTAACGGACATGAGGTGAGAATGATTTCTTCATTCGGTCTTCAATATTCATTTGAATGCTTGGGGTGGGCTTATGATTCACCTTGCTCCTGCCTCTCACTTTTTTTCTGGAAAGTCAGTTGAGATAGGGGAGGAGTGTGATGCGTATGGTTCACTAAAAGATAGAGTTTTGAATAAGCAGTTGCGTGAAAATCTCCAGCAAAGCATTAAAAACCCGTGAATCATTCATCCGCGCCCTTTCTACTGCTGTCGAGATTCGTCATCATGTAATGATTAGAAATTCATGAGCATAAATTATCGTGGGAGGAAAAGTGCAGAAGGCATTGAGAATGGTACAATCCTCATCATTACGGACTGTCGGGGCGTGTCAGTGCGGCTGCGTTTGGCGCGGTGCCAAAGTCGTTCTGCACCAGTTGTTGAAGCGGGCAAGTGACATTACTGTATTATAT